TACAGGTTAAACAAAATCAAACATCTATCGAATCAATATTAAATTCCAACAAAATTCCCTATACATTTATTGACGTTGCTGCTGATCAAGAACAATTAAATTATATGAAAAGAAAAAATAGAGGTGTAAAAGAATTACCCCAAATTTTTGTCGATGGCGAATATAAAGGAGTATGGTTATAATTATCTTTATTTATTACTTCTTATCCTTTTGTCAAACCTCATTTATATTAAATTGTATTTATGACCTGACAGCTTACGAAAGAACTTGAACAAGCTGTTGAAATGAGAGAAGTAAAAGAATTTTTGGGTTTGGATTAATAAAAAAAATTTTTTTGCTATTTTTCACAAATAACAAATAGTTTTCCGTTCCCCAAAAAAAAAACCAAAAAAATTATATTACTTTATTATATCATCAATTGTTCACACAACATATATATACAAATTTATTAATGATTGGATAAAGCATTCTTGATATATATTTTGTATTAATTGTAATAAGTTTGTAATTCAAAACATTAATAATAATGACCTCCTAATATGTCTCCTGATTCTGACTTGTTAGTCCTATTTACCCCAGGCCCAAAAGCTGGCGCCGGTGGTATGTATTTTGCCGAATCAAAAACTGTACGACCTCCGGGAACTAATACCTGGAGATCGGCTTTGCTTGGAACAATTTGAAACGTCACCTTTTTATTTATAAAATAATGTTTAATTATTGTGTACTTATTTGTGGATTGTGATTTTAAAATTCTTTCAATTCAATATAAAGGAAAAATTCTACCAATAACTTTGCAGAGATTATCATAGAAACAAAGTTACAAGTGGAATTTGAAAAAATCTCGCTGATACATTGATTTGAAAGATTTTTAAAATTGAAATGGAATAGTTGTAAGGTTTTCTGCGCCATATTTATTTCATAAAACTCACCGTGTCATTTATTCCAACATAGATATTATAGAGTTCATTTACTTCCGAGTACTCTTGTGCCGCATGTGCTGCGACCGTAGGTGATTTACATTTAGTTAATAGGTGCAATACTTCCCTAGCTTCTGTGAT